AGAAAAAGAGAATAAATATGATATTTAGGATATAAATATAAGATTTAGGATAATAAAATAAAAGTGAGATAATTATATGATTGAATAAAAATAATAATAATCAGATGATAAATTGTAAAAATTAAGAAAAAAAAACTTCGTATAATCAAAGAAAGATTATCAAATTAGAGAAATTTATGTTATTACAGTAATAATATATTAAATTTTATATTATTTACTTTATATAGTTATATATTAGAAATTAATATCTTGTAATTTTACTAAATTATATAATATTACTTATATATAATTTGTAGATATATTATAAGATTTTTATACTTAATATGAATTTTTATTATATATATTTATTAATAAAGATTTTTGAGTAAATTACCAAAAGATCCGAAAGAGAAACAAGAACAGGTTATCAAAATAGTACTGGAGCGGTTTCCTTATTTGTCTTTAAAATATAGTACTGGGAATGACGATTACTTTAGCTGTTCAACGATCTGCCCTATATGCAATAAAGACATAAAAAAGAGAATCTAAAAGATAATATAGAGGGTGAATGGGGTAGTGGTGTATATTGCGATGAAAAAATTACTATCTCAAATGCTATAAGAATAATCTGCATCCAATCCGAATAGTAACGGTAAAGACATAATTAACTTATGTAATAGCATATGCATATATATAATAAAACATTTTTCGTGCTCTGTAATTAGAATCACATGGGGTTGCTCCCCTTGGGGCTCTATATTGATAGGGTAAGATTTTTCTAGTGGCTTGTGCAAAAAAATATCGCAGTACGTTTATTTTTAGCGTAATACGATCTAGTATATAGATATCGTCGACACATCAGTTTATATTATTGCCTTCAGTAATAATTATCTTCTTTAGTATTTGACAACGTTCCAAATGGAATGCGCAAATCACTAGAAATTGTATAATGACTCTTCAATCAATTTGTATTTTGTAATTGTTTTTAAATTTAAATTTTTTATTTTTATAGATGAATTGTTTGTCATAACAACAGATTTTATAAAAAAATTTTCTAATAAACAAAAAAAAGAAAAAGTCTCATAACTAAACTATCTCAAAAATAATTACTCGTAAAATAAGAAACTCAGCAGACGTAAACTTACTAGTTTATTAAGCAGTAGCAACAGAACAGGCTAGTACATCATCACTACTTTCAGTACCATTTGCAATTCCAACTACAATATAAGATGTTCCACGTAATGTTGGTACATAAACATCCTGTGTTGTTTGATATAAAGTTCCAGCTTTAATTGGACATGCAACTTCTTTACAGATGTCCAATATATCATTACTTATGATATTTCCATGCTCATCAGTAAATACAATATAAAGTTTGAAGTCATCAGTGATATCTTGCTTTAGTGTTCCGGAAATAGTAAACGTATCTGTTGATTCAGGAACGACAGGATCAGGTGAAATTGTTACATCAAGTACGGGTGTTTCTGGCGGAAGATTAGAACATGCATCAAATTCAGTAGTTCTTTTATGAAGTTGATGTGGAATAGCATTGATTCTGGAAAGCATAGCCAATAAAATGAGTGCAAAAACAAAATTTCGGTTCATTATGATTATATATTATGATTGATTTTTGTAGGGCGCAGTGAATTGGCGATTTATACTATAGTACGAGGTAAGTTTTGTGGACGAGTTCATGTGTTATTAAGATGTGGAATTGCGAGCGAATTATACAAGGATGAATCTGCGATTTTGACCCGAGGCATAGCGTGCTTTTATAGGCACTATTATCTGATCCCCCCGAATGATTAATTTTATAAGACAAAAATGAATTAGCTTAGTTTCTTTTTAGCACGCAATATATGATCGACACATTAGCAATGGACATACGTACAGTGACTGTCATATGTTTTGCATCACGTAAATGAGAAAATAATACATGTATCTCGTGATTTTACATGTTATTAACATGTGCTTCCTGAAATTTTTAATTAGTGCCTCAATCTGCCCTTTTTTTCGTCTTCACTTTGGTACTAACAATAATCTACGATACACTAAACCGATCTAGCACAACCAACACCAATGGTTTACACGCCATCCTTTCTATGATCGCTCTAATTCTAATTATGCTATTCACAAAAGAATTTCTTTACATTTCTTTAGCTGTTAGTGCATATTACGAAACTTGCGTCTCGTGATACGCGTTCAATTTTAGACCTGTCCTCGAATTCATGAACAAGTTAACGAGATAGAAAGTAGACGTGTAATAAAAAATTTTAACATTAGAATGCATTAGCTTGAATGTGAAACGATGGTTGTTACAAAAGCTGGTAAATGTCGAATATGCATGATTGTAGTGAATGTGGCGATTGTCTAAATGATTGCATTATCACAAATAAAAAATACTGACAATCAAAGAGATTTCTTTCGATGTTGAATACGTTGTCGTCGATTTTATAGTATATACCACTGTCGATTCTGATTTGTAGGCGAAGAAACTATTAAACAATAAATTGATTTTGGGAGGAATTGGACCTCCGTTACCAAGAAAAAATCTCAAGAACCTCCCCCAGAGAAAAACCAAAACTTGATATGTGAGAAAGCGGCTACATTTAAAGTCGGCAATGTGGACTCTAAACAGCAAGTTGCTGAGATCATCCCATCGGACAAAACAATCTTCATACAAACCATTACAAGTTACTCTGGATATAATAAAATAATAAAAAAATGGTATACCCCCAGATACTAGTCAACCGAATAGTGCGATAAAATATAAAACATATGAAGGATCTGGTAGAATTCACCGATACCACGTTTAATATCACCGCGATTTAACTGACTATAACGATTAACGATAACAATAAGTGTATACAGTCGCCACAGAAAGTAACCGCCGAATTTTTTTAAAATGAAATTTAGATATATATTTCATTAGCTTTATATACATAAAAATATACATTACTCACCCTCTATATGGCTTCAAAATCACCTCGATTCCTTACGGCATCGAGCTCACAACCTTCTCCAAACTAACACATTAAACTTCTTTCAGAGTAGTCTTGAGCTTGTTCAGTTTTTGAAAAGCTTTTATACTTTAGAATATGTTTCTATGAAGCCAGGTCTGTGAAAATATGTTAATTGGTTCATAATCAATAATATTCTTCGCTTGAACCTATTTCGTGATCTTTTTATGATTAGGGTATGTTAGGGCGAAGCAGAAACGCCATATGTTTTCAAGTTAATGAGCATAATATATTATGAAAAGGATGAAATTACCTAAAGAAAGAATCTTTGGTTAAATTTTTACAAAGATTTTTTGTTGACAATGTCATGAAATGGCTTAGATTATCTTTTTTTGGCTTCTTGCAAATGTGCATTTTTTTCTTGCTTGTGACCTCCCAGACCCTGGTAAATTTTTTTTTCTCCCGGATTCGGCAAGAGACCTTTATCCCGTCATCGGATCACGGCTCATTTTTCTGGCAACTTGCACAGCACCATTTACCCTCGTCAAAGTCGGTCAACTGGAGGCGATGTGTGTTATATTTACAGCCAAAAATTTCGCCTAGTGTATGTTTAAAAATAAAAAAATTTCAACAAAAAGGGAGAAAACGCCACGTATAAATTTATGTTGATGTTACACATCCAAATCGTGCGTTACTTTCTGTGGCGACTGTACATACAAGTGACTTGTTATAAAAAAATTTACTACATCAAGAGTTTATTAGCAAAGTTACTCTAAAGAGACGGTTTTATTATACTGAACTTTACTATGGCGCGTAAAACCTAAAGTCATCAAACATTTGTATTTATAAAATGTATAAACTTTTTACTAAAATGTAAATACAAAATTTAATCCGTGAATATGATAAAATAGGCCTTTTCTGAGCAGAGCATATCCACGAAGTTTATACATTTTATGCAATACAAACGTTTGATGACTTTAGATTTTACGCGCCATATAACAAGAGACACTTGTATTTAGATAAATCTTTATGATAACCTATGTCAGTGATATGTTGCTAGTGAAATGGGTGTCGGTAAAACGGGTGCATTCCAAAACACGTATGAAGCGAATCCCTTAATATGACACGTGAATAGTATAACTTAGAAGAGAATCGAATCCTTGTTTTAATCAATCAGAATAACCAAACACCAGATACTGGACTTTCAGTATCAGCTGAATAGGTATCAATAATTGTTGAAATGGTAAAGGATACATTCTGATACTTGAAAAAATCACCATGCTAGGACTTCTGCGCCAGCCCTGAATAATATTACAGAGAGTATTTGCCCTCACCCACTAGACCTTGGGAGAAGAAAAGCAACCACGAAGGTACCACCAGACAGCGTCTAGAAGCCCAAAAGACAGTGCCTAATGAGAACCAACAAGGCCGCACGACCTAGAAAGGAATCGAACCTTTACCTACAATCAACGCATAATTCATGCGAGCGCCAACATTGAAAGTACGCTACCCAGTAGCTAGGTCCTAACAGAAGACAAGAATGGGAACAGTAGGAAAAATAAAAATGGGCGAAGGAGGAGTTATTTAAATAAGAGAATCCTGATTACGATTGTTTATTTATTTTGAATCGTTGTTTGTTTAGGTGATTGTTATTAATTCTATTGTTTATTTAGATGATTGCTTATCAACAAACGCCTACAAAAATGATTATTTTTATAATAATATTGTATACGCGATACGCGATAAAATTCATGTTTATGATTTTCAAAAATGGGGAACGTCTAAAACCGTGTAGTGTAGTGAATTAAGACTTAAGTCAAATCGGATAATCTTATAATTATCCGTATTGACTTAATACACATGACCTATATCTCTAACACATCCAATGACTGCTGAATCCTGCATTACACCATCGCTATCAAAACAAAAACAAATGAATGTCTTTTTGGTTCAGGCTGAGACTCTCTCCAACGAAAAGAAGTGCCGAATACTCACTCACAACATCACGTCATGAAATCAAATTGGAAACTGATCGTAACCTGGAGAAATTCGCAACACCAGCAAAACGGCGACCGGTTTCCAGTTTGGTTATTTCTTTCATTGTTGGATGTCTAGTTTCTTTATTTTGTTGTGCTGTCGCAAATTTTGACTGGTTTCTGGTTTGGTCTCGCACCGGGTCTGTGTGGCATCGTTGAATGCCCATATCTCTGGAACATATAAGCATATCTTTTTTTATCTATAGTCCTATAATTATGTGAATATTTTTGCATTTAGATCAACAAATCGGTGGAGATATTAGTATCTAAAACAGGGACGATGATTTTTATGGTGATATTAGGCAATTTTTGTGTGTGCTATAAACAATTCTTGTGCTATATTTGATAAATTTTGTGGCGCTTTAATGAAAATTTGTGATACATGTATTATGTGATTTTGAACGTACTATGATAATTATTTGTATTAGTTGTCTATTATAGTCTTTCATGATAATTAATTATTTTATTTATTATTGTTATATATAGCGTTAAAACTTTTATTAGATATTATAACACAAAAAAATCTCAAATTAAAATACATCATATTAAGTTGCTTAAGTGATTCTTTAGATAAATTTTGATGATCACTATCTAAAAGGGAATTATATAAAGAGAAGCTACATTCAACGGCACAGCTAGATATAGGTAACCAAATATAATCAAATGTGATTTGAGAAAGAATTGGTAAATGATTTGCTAAACTATTCCAATATATATCTAATTCACTTTTATTTATACTTCTATAAAATTCTAACTCACTATAAATCTTTCACTTGTACATTAAACTATCAAAGAGATTTTGAAATTTATTAATAATTGAATACTGATAAATATCGCATCATTGAATATTTCCCATGTGAATATATTTAGGATCAAAAGTTGCATAGTTCAAAATAAAGGATGAGTAGGATAATTTAAAATATATAAGATGAGTTTGTCATATGCTGCTTGAAATGTGGCTCAAAAAATAGAATAGAAATCTAATAGATTGAATAAAAACCACATTATAATTTTATCAAGTTCTATACCAAAATTAAATGCAATTCAATTTAATTCAAGATAAGTTACAAGAGTCATAAATCATGTTTCAATAAATGAAAAAACTGGTTTTTTGTTGTTAAAAAAATCTAAGTCTTGAATGAATGTCTTGATATAAATTAAATTAAAATTTACATCAATTATGATTTTTTTAATTGTGTCCTATTTTGCATAATTGAATAAATTACACTTATTTTCTCATGTTTTGAATTATTTTTATACTCAGTTTTATAAAAATTCAGCCAATATTAAAGATATTTTTAGTATAAAAAACTATTTTAAACCAACTATTTAATTAAATTTTGTTTGATAATAATATTTTGCATAATGATATAATATTATACATATAAATAAGTTATATATAAATTTTTTCTTGCAAAAAATCTAATAAAAAAATCTTTAATATTAGTTAAAAAGTTTTTAATAACAAAAATCTCATCAAGTTCACTATTTTAAATATAAAAATAAAATTAATTTAATTAATATATATAAATATATATATTTAATAAATACTTACTCAATAAGATTTAATATATATAAGATATATAATAAATATATTAATTATAATATAATTAGCTTTAAAATATTATTATAATATTTTTTTATTTATTTAATAAAACTGTTATTTTTTTCACAATATTTTCAAGTATTTTATAACTGTAAAAAAGTATTTCAAGTACATCAAGAAGAAAAATCACCAGAAATATATCAATTTGCTTTCTTAAAAAAAGATGAACTTACAATATCTACCAACAGCATATAAGATATTATATTCACTATCTTCTGAATTATGTAATTATTACAAACTTTCATTTAATAATAAAATAATATGATATTTATTTGTGATCATGTGATTTATTTTAGTGAAAGATGAATTTATTACTAAAGTATGAGCTTTGGTTCTTACATCTTTTACACTAAGTTTATTTTGCAAAATGTACTGAGCCATTTTTACAATAGTTTCTTATTTATTACTTTGATTACTACTTAATTAAAAATTAATATACTTACCTGATATTTACTAAAGTCAAACTTTTTCTGAAATATATCTGTATCTGATTTCTCTTATTATCATTTGAAAGTTTTTTGAGTAATCCTGATATATATTTACTAAGTTCGGATATGCTTATCTGTGGCTCAGATTATATTTTCTACAAACTTGATTGCGATAACAGACATAATTAGTAATTAGTATAATATATCAAAAGTAGGTTATTTATTATATATAATTTAGGTATATTATTTACTAAGTGTAGATTCTTTTCAAGCCAAAATTAATATTCCAGATCAGCATATATATATATACCCAAAACAAAATTACCAAAAATATTGATGGTATCAAAAAGAATATAGATTTGCTTAAAGAGGTTCTCAAAAAATAATTATCAAATATCAAGCGTGTAATATGTATTCATGCCTCGAGGCGTCAGACCTATTAATTTGAATTCTACCAACCTATAGAATATAGTGAAAAACTTATATTTATTTTATATAATGCTAAAATTGCCAACACTAAATATTTTTCAAGTTACATTTGCTGCAATATATATATATCTAAAGGTAATAAAAATAAAGTAAATTTTTGTATGTCATCTTCATTTATTGGTTCTCATTCACGCATGCATCAGAAGTGTGACAGCAAAGTACGTATTGGAACTGTATTATTAAAATTGACGAATGTAAAATATATAATATTATACATAGTATATATTACAAAATGTTTGTAAAATATGCATATGTTGCCAATATGATATTAGCATTATTTTTTACAAATCTTTGTTATTCGTAAATTTACTCACCAATGTTATCCTGAAAAAAATCACTTTTATTTTTTCTTACCTCTCGTCCTAACTTCTAATTCCTTATAATCAAGTCAAGCAGTCTTTGCTCCATCAAGATTAGTTGAAATACCATAGTATTTAAATGATTTCTAATTTACATAGCAACAGTAGCATAGGATAGTTATTGGGTTCTCGTCTTTTTATAATTACTGTATTTAGTACATGTAAACAAAAGCAAATACATGTACATGTATTATTCATCATAATTCTAGCATGAGATTCTCCTCCAATCACAGTGTTACCCTCTGCATAATATTCCATCCTATCACGGTATCCACATCATAGTACTCCGCGTACTACAGTACATGTACGTACCAGTACGTATAACGATAAGAATTGTATGATATCCCTAAGGCAAAATACGGTTACTCTATAAAAATTACCTTTTGAAATTTTAAGTTTGATCATCGATATCGTTAACACAAAGGAATCGGTGCTTACAAATGGAAAATTCTAATTCTATATTTATTTTCATTTAGCCAGCATTTCGAAGTTTAAATACAGTATACATATACATGTATTAGTTTTTTTATTTAATATAACGCATAATACCAAACACATTTTACGAAAGGATGCAATCTAATGTCCATAATTGTAGTAAATGTTATAGTTGTCAAAAAAATAAACGCTGCAAAGAATGTTCAAATTGTTGCCATATTCATGATTGTAGTAAATGTGCTCATTGTCGAGAAAATAATCGTTGTTACAAATGTTTTAAATATCATTATCAACTTTACAAAACTGAATGGTCCAGCAAAAATAAAGACATCGACAGTCTAATAAAAGGGAGCACTCAACTTATAGGATCTTTCGGATATATTGGATTTTTTGAATGGATTTCTTTTGAAAGATTTACCAGCGTTGAATATCTTGCAAAAGGAGGTTTTGGGAATATTTCTAAAGCAACCTGGTTGGACGGACCAATAAGTCACGAATGGGACCATGAAGAAAATAGATTTAAACGAGATGGAGAACACATAGTTGTGTTGAAATCAATATGCGATTCAAAACAAATTACATTAGAGTTTATAAATGAGGTAAAATGAACAAATTCTAAGAGTAAGTTGTTTATTTATTTCTAATACAAATAATTTTTCCAAAAAGATTCAAACTGCTCTAAAGTGCAAAACTCCTATTGGAATAAAATATTATGGAATAACTGAAAATCCGGCAACGAATGAATACTCGATAGTGATGGATTATGCAAAAGATGGTGATTTAGGTAGATATATTAATTCCGAATATGAAGAATTGAATTGGAGACAAAAATTAGGATATTTATTTGATATTATCGTAGATTTGTGTAAAATTCACAAAGAAGGATTTGTGCATCGTGATTTTCATCCCGGAAATATCTTAATATTCTTGCATGGCAATGCTCAAATTGTTGATTTTGGCCTTACCAGCACAGCTAATACTAGTCAAGAAATTTGCGGAGTACTTCCTTATATAAGTCCAGAGGTGCTAAATGGAAAGCCATACACTAAAGCTGCAGATATTTATAGCTTTGGAATGATTATGTACGAGATTGTAACAGGTGAACAACCATTTTGTGAACGAAGTCATGATATATATCTTGTATACGACATCTATAGAGGAGTACGACCTACGATACCAAATACTATTCTTGGATGGTGTAAATTCATTATTGAAAAATGTTGGGATTCTATCTCAGAAAACAGACCAACTGCTGAAGAACTTTCTAATTTTATCAACTCTATCTACGATACTGTAGATGAGAAATGGAAACCGAATAATTTACATTTTCAATACTACAACACATTAAACGGTCCTAAAGCACACGAAGAAATTAAAAAGTGTCTTAAATTAGAAAGGCAGAAAATAAAAAAACTTGATAAGGTGATGAAATCGCAAAAAAACATTCCCACCAATATAGACAAAAAACAAAACATCCATCAAAATGCAATTTATACTAGTCGAATTTTTACTAAAAAATCACTTTCAATTTCAAATGATAAAGGTACGTTTTATTTGAAATATAAATCACATCGAACATTTCCTGTTAATTAAAATTATTTTAAATATTTAGATCCTAGAAGTGTTGGTTTATCTATTCCAAACGAAATTAGTGAAGGTATAATCATATTTAGTATTGTTTTTTCAGAAATACTGCATCAACGTGAATACATTAAAAATACTTGTTTGTATACAACTCTAGCATACTTAACTACGGAATTTCGTATAGATATTGACGCCGAATCTACAAGTGTCAGTTTGTATGTTCCAAACGAAACAGATGAAGGTAAAATTTATTAGCTATGTTTATTAATAGTTGATTATAATTTTCGCTTATTTATTTGTGTTTTATTTTATAACGTCAGCATATGTCTCACGAATTGGGAATGATGGAAAAGACGCCGAAAGGAGAAAATGCGTAGTCAAACGTTCAAATTTAATCGCAAAAAAATCGATCAATAAACGTCCTATTGAGGACGTATCGGAAGAATCAAATAAACGGAGCAATATTTCATCATTGGATCAAGAAAATAGTGATTTTGTCTATTATTGATCTAGATGAAAAGAATTTTAGCAACAATTTCAAATGATATTTCTAACAATATCTTTAATTTTCTGAGCATACGTTTCAAATTTATATTTGTTTGCACTATTTCATATTTTTGATTTTTATCATATTCGAACTTATTTATTTAGTATTAAACAAAATAATTAAAGTTGCCTGACAAAAACCTCTTAGAATTGTCAAAGATTCATCAGTCGATTATCGACGGTTTCACTTATTCAAAAAGGCAACTAAAGCAGAAAATATAAGACAGATGACTGTTATCATACTAGAAATCGATAACAATAATAATTACATGTGTATTTTTTAGTCTAAAGATAATCATTGAATTAGATATTAATCGTGTTTCCGAGTTAAAGCATGACGACCCAAAGCGGTTGTTTATCGTTCTCGATTCTTTGTGTATTTATCGTTATGAACGTATTATTATTATTCTTTCTGAAATCCATTTCTTTTATGTATACTCTTGTAACATAAAAATAATTTTAATCCGATTCTATTTTTTGCATATCGGTATCGATATAACGATTGCTTTAAAATATAAATAGATACATTTTCGTTACGTTATGCATGCTTCCTATGTTATTAATATAACAACATTAGACTACCGTATTTCGCAGTGCGAAATCTTGTGTGATATAGAATATCGTATTTTCGTCGCTAAATTCCTGATAGATAATAGATAAAATCACTATTTCTTGATCCAATAATGAAAACTTTTCCCGTTTATTTGAGGACGTTTATTACCCGGATATATGGCTGTTAAAGAGATCATGCGAGTCGGTCTTTGAGTCGGCTTTGCCTGAGTTGCTTTTGAGCCTGAGTTTAGGCTCGGAGGGACCGTCTCCCAATATTCACATGATAGATCAGATGCTAGAAGTAACCATATATATACATATGCCAATTGTTTTTTTAAAGAACAAACGAATTGACATGAATGATGCTGCTTTCGTAATGAACGCGAACAAAAGGCATTCATGATAACATATACAGAACGATCATTACCAAAACAGTTCAACAAAAAACTCGGAAACAAAAGATATTCGATAAATTAGGTAAGATTACTTATTTTGTCAAGACGATTCAACAAAAATCTCCGGAAAAAAACGGTTGGTATCAATAAAGCAGTTGTGTTTAAGAATTTTATACTATAAAATTATCCTACCTTCTTTTCCTGTTTCTTTGTTTATCTATTCGTCAAATATCTAATTTCAGCTCGTCAATTCCACATCTTCCACAAGCTCACCACTTCATACGTTCTCTACAATTCCAAAATCTTTTAGCTGAGACCTCTTTTGAAGATATTCAAAGTTCTGTCGAAAGCGACAATAATCTTGGAAAAGAGTCTCAAATAATGTAATCATTAGTCATATAGACCAATTAAAAATAAACGTAAATCTGCTTCTGTACGTGTTATCTCGATGTACTTGAACCTCCAGAACCGAATGCCGATCCACTGTTGTGGTGGAAAGCTAATGCTCTTC